ATCTTTAAATATCCAGAACCTGCACCTTCAACACTAAAAGAGAAGGGTCTTTTAGTGTTGCAGGTGTCCTTGTGCGGCGCTGACTGTATGTACATATAAGAACATCCATTAAATAGTGGACAAAATATAGTATTAGCATTGTACCCGTGCAAACCCGGAGTGTTTTTCTAGTATCTCATAAAAAGGAATCATCGGAAACAAAGCCTATCCACTTTGAAAAACTTCAAATACTTTATTATTTTAGCAATATATCCATTGCGAACCACGTTTGGACAATGTTTATTTATTTATTTAAACTTCATGCACAATGGGTGTACTTAATGCTTAAAGCATTTTCTACCTATTTAATCAATTATGTTGTCATTATCATCTTGAGATTTTCTGTAAAAGGCTAAGAATACTCTAAATAAAAGACTGCTCTTAACAACTGCTTTCTTAAAGTCCGCAATGAACTGTCAGCTTTGTAGTCAGCTATTTTAGGTCGAATAACTCTTATTTTGACCTTGTTAACGCTGTTACTTTACAAGTTTTGTTTTAGTATCAAAAGTTGTTAAATTATATAATACAACGTCAAGTTCACAAGTTTAATAATATTACCCATTGTGTAAAGACGCGATTGGAAGCCATCTTGTTCCATCGACTTAAAATTAATTGGTTTGCGACATTATTACTTTCTGATGTTTTTTTCTTTTCACTTAAATTGCCGTATATTGTTCTTTGGTATTGAATTTGTAATTAAATATTACTTATGTAATATTTTTTGTTAGTAGAAAACTCGGAAGTGGAATTCCAAGTCAGTATTAATTTACCTTTCGTCAGTCTAGTAGAAAACTAATAAAAAAACTACGTTTAAAAAAACCGACTTCAAAAACAAAAAAGTGTCAAATAAGTAATTAAAATTGATATTCTAATAGCACTCTTACGTACGCGAAGCTAATACTTTTAATATTAATAATAAAACACTATCAATTCTATGTGCTACCTATTCATAGGTTTGAAGTCGGTGCCAAGCCTAATACATAATATAATAAGCATGATTACATGAGTACCTACCTAAACTCGCCGGGCGCGTTTGAATTTATTTGTTAGGATTTAAGAAATGTAGTACCGATTTTCTAACTTGATGGCGTTAGCGTAGAATCAGAAGTCTATATGGTTTCGTTACCGGCGAAACTGTATATAGCTCAGAAAGATATTTGGATAAATTATGAATTCTGAAAGTTTTCTCGTACTTGGTTGTTAAAAGTAGTAGTAGGTAGCTGCGTTGTTTCTTGTGGAAATTTCGTCTTTTAGCAGTTATACAGTCTTAATTCTCATTTAGTTTTATTCTGTTTAGGGCTTGGCACCGACTTCAAACCTATGAATAGGTAGCACATAGAATTGATAGTGTTTTATTATTAATATTAAAAGTATTAGCTTCGCGTACGTAAGAGTGCTATTAGAATATCAATTTTAATTACTTATTTGACACTTTTTTGTTTTTGAAGTCGGTTTTTTTAAACGTAGTTTTTTTTATTTATTTCTTTTTAGTGTCTGTTGCAAGTTCTTCTGTAAACTACAGTAACATTTTAAATATAAATTAACATATTGAGTTGTATATATTTTTAAGTAGCTATGTGTAGGCCAACGAAAGGAGCCGCCCGATTAAAAAATATATAGATCCCAAGAAATGGGAAAGTTCTCATCATCATCATCATCATCATCATCATCAGCCATTTTAATGTTCCCACTACTGGGACACAGGCTTTCTCTCTAGGAGAGGGAAAGTTCTGAACAATATAAATAAATTAAGTCCAAACACGAGGTAGCTACTGTAAACCGTTGAGGAGTTCCCTAGACTGTCGTTCGTCTTCATCATCAGATCCCTAATGATAGTCACAATCCATCAAGGTCTAAAGTTCTCAACAAAACGAATAAATTAAGCTCAAACACAAGGAAGCTGCTATGAATCGTTGAGGAGTTCTCTCGACTGTCTCTCGTTTCCATCCGGAATTCCCTCGACGGTCAATTGTCTCCATCATCAGGTAAACTGCAGACCTTCAGTTGTTATGATACATACCTACAGGTACAAAGTTTTCATCAATATAAATGAATTAAGTTCAAACACGAAGTAGTTACTGTAAACCGTTCAGGAGTTCCCTGAGCTGTCCTTCGTTCTCATCATCAGACCCTTAATGACAGTTACGACCAAGCCTGCTGCAAAGTGCTCGCCAATACGAATCATTCAAGCCCAAACACAAGGCAATTACTCCAAATAGTCAAGGAGATCCCTCGCCTGTCTTCCAGCTCCAACATCTGGTCGACTTCGACCTTCGTCAAGTTGCAGTGTTGTTAAAGGCCTACTTAAAAATCATACAAAAATCCTACTTGCCCCTACAATTTTCGAAAGCTCCCCTCGGTTTCTCCAGGATTCCATCATCAGATCCTGACCTCATGACAATGGGACCAAATGGCAAGTATACCCTATCGAATAAAAAAAGAATTTTGCAAATCGGTCCAGGCGTCTTCGAGTAATCGGTGTACCTCCTCCTTTTTTTGAAGTCGGTTAAAAATAAGTTAGTATACAAATGTTATAATGTAGACCCTTTGTCCGGTCAAGCCTGTGAAGTTTCTGGAGTATTTTACGCAAGTATGAACCTTAAGTACAATGTCCTTATGTATTTTCCTAATATTGACATACACAAAGGTGAATTTATTTTCAGCAATGCGTCTATCTAATAATTTTTCTATCTCAACTATTATTATATAAATCTGTAACATATTTCGTTCTATAAATGTAACGAGTATCTATTTATTCTAAAGTAAATATTCCATTTGACTTGAGTTGCCTGATAAAATACAGAGCTGTAACAATAAAAATTGAAACGTCAACGGAACTTTCATAATACATATTGCTTTTGTGAGCATTTTTGCAAAAAGTAAAATAGAACTTGTAATTGGGCTTGAGAATTTATTTCAAATTGTCATTCTGAGGGAACAGTAAACTTCCGGCTCTTTGTTATGATAGACTGTTAAGTGTAATCCATTATGGAGAAGTTCATCTAGAGCTCTTCAGCCCCTCCAACATGATTGGCTAAGAAACGATTGAACTTGTTTGTCTACTCTATATCAGGCTTTACATCATGAACCTATAAGAAAGCCCACAGCTGAGCAAATGCCTTATCTCACGCGGAGGTGGACTGAGGATTCATCACTACGCTTATTCAAGGCGGGTTGGCGATTTTAAACTGACTGACTGCACGGTTGGCGCAGTGGCTGGGCAACTGGCTGCTGTGCAACGTGTAGCGGGTTCGATTCCCGCACGGAACAACACTTTGTTTGATCCACAAATTGTTGTTTCGGGCCTGGGTGTGTTGTGTATGTGAATTTGTATGTTTGTAAACACACCCGCGACACAGGAGAAAATCCTAGTGTGGGGCAACGTTTTTTTTTATTAAAAAAAAAACTAATAATAAAGGCCTCTAAAAGGCTCGATTCCTCAATTCCTGAATCAGGAGGCAAGGGAGTTGGGTGACGTCACTGCGCCGCGTACACTGCCCGCTCGAAAGTCACGTTTTTACTTGAAACTAGTAGGTAGATATGTATTTTCCCGCTTGTAAGTAAATGTAGGCCACAATTTTCTTCAATAATATGTTGTTGGAATTTTATACAGCAACACGACATAACCTATTGGGGGCGTTAAGTGAATGAAAATTCGTTTAATGGATGAAAAATCGTATAAAGATCAAAGAAAATGTTCAGGAAAATGATGTTAAAAAAATAAAACCTCTCTTTTCGCAGTTTTCTTGTTATTTTAAGCTCTTTATGTAGAAAAACTTATATTCTTGCTTGATGGAATGACGGACCATTTTATCTTGTACCTAGTAATGGACAAAGTGATGGGTTGTCTGTTACGATTTGTTTTTGAATGGAGCATAGACAGGAGTATTACGAATGTTGAGTAATTATAAGGTTCTTTGGTTTTGAGAAATACTTTGTCTATAATTTGAGGTGGCACTAGTAAATGAACCACCTAATGATAATTAATCACCACTTATCTGCAATAAAATTATCTCCCGCAATATCAGAGGAGTAACAGGTCCGTCACCGGTCTTTGGGAGTTCTAAGGTGTTTGCGGATTGGGCAAGGATTGAGTCTCCGGTAACCTAACCCGCACGACAACATACAACACAACAGTTGTTTTGCGCCAAATTTCTGTTAGGCCGTGGTTTGACTCCGGTCGAATCGGCCCATTTGTGTCGAAGTACACTTAAAATACTTGAGCTGGATTAAGATTAGTAGGTACTTATTCTACGTAGCCGTACTTTTATATCGCGGGTCTCGATCTTTCGTTCTCACATCATTCAAATTGCCTTAAGAGGCGCTATTACTTAAATGCTTAAATTGACGGGGAATATTTATTATTTTTTAAATGATATTTACTTTTTTTAAACTATTCTTGATTTTGCATGGTATTCTAAATAAAATTCTAAATTAATTATTATGTTTTTGGCTTACTGACGTAATAATTTAACGAGATACTCGACTAGTTTCAAGCCTTGCTAGAGGACCATATTGATGAGCAGCATTCCGCGACACGCAACGCGGCGACTAAAAATTCTACTTCAAAATTATCACAGCAACTTCCTCTACCTTAGTACGTAAGTCGAAAGTATTATTTAATAATACTAACAATTAAAGGAATCCTTAAAACTCAATACTTTATTGCATTTCTTAAGTAAAACTTTAGGTGGAAAACTAACAGGTAAAAAATAATATTATCCCGTAGTGCACAACCGGAAAATAAGTCTATCTAGCTTCAACCATTACAATATTGTTGGGTATCTACTTGCAAGGGAACGACGAGAACGCCAGTTAAACTTGCTAAGAGTAGTCGGTTGCACACTGATTTATTTTTCTAAACTTCACCGCGGTGCGGATCGCAGCCCTCGCAATACTTTTTGCATCTATACATACATACGTAACAATTATTAAGGGTAGTAAGTTGGTTCCAAACTTACCTGGTATGGCATAGACCAGTGTGAAGCTGAGCATACCGAACTGTTTCTTCCTGTCCAGCCCCGGCCACTCCTCGGTGCAGAAGTGCACGTCTCTGGTTTCTATCTAGAATGAATGCTATGATTTAGTCTTTAATAGTTACAATGTGTAATATCTAATAATGGTTAATTATTTCGTGATATTTCCATCTTTTATCAAAACTTAGCCTTACACTAGGACATTCTTTTGTCTTGTTGGTGTGTCTAGAAATACAGTACAACTTAGGCTTCCGCCAAAAGCTTCGCCCGCGTGGTATGTTGATAAAAATATGTGTTCATGTCCAGGATACACCTATCTACATACCAAAATTCAACCTAATCGCTCCAGCCGTTTTTGCGTAAAAGAATAACAAACATACCTACATACATTTGTAAAAACTTAAACATTTATAATCTTAGTAGGATTAGTAGAATTTCACATACACATCACGCCAAGATCCTGAACAACCATTTGTGTGCCGCCGACACAGAATACTTATGTGTGTGTGCGGCACGATGTGACTTGAAACTTAGTTAAAGTTTTCTCAGTTCATACACGTAAGTGACCTACGAGTTTCAGTTAATCTTACCATGTACACTTCGAAATACCCTGATTTAGGTATCCTTGTCTTTGAGCCAACAAGCAAACGTCATATCAAATACATTGACGACTATCTTCAAGCTGTCTGGTAAAATTTAATATTATAGTTACAAACATTCTTATGTAGAGAAAGGTGTTTATGATATAGGTAGCTAAAGACAGTGTTTTGGAACTTGTTGCCTTGGTTACTCTTATATCTAGTCAATAGGGTAGGTTTTTCAGTCAAAATTAAACTATTTTAACTTATAAACCCATCAAAATACTTTGACTAAGCTCACGTTCATTCATAAATTTTCTATGAATACTACTAAAAATGTAATGATATTAATGTTTTTTAAGATAACGTTTAATCTATCACGATATATATCTACATATATGTTGTATATATTTAAAATATGTTGAGGTACAGATTTCACTAACGAAGGACTAATTATTTATCCTTGTATCAAATTAAACTGTATGTTACATGCGAGACAGTCGAAAATTCTTTGTTTATTGTCGTCAAAACTTTCGTAATTGTATGTAAAGCGAAATGTGTTTATTCTGAGCACTAAACTTTGCCGACACTCAATTTATCATATAAGTTAATTAAAAACAAATTAATATGTTCACAAGTTATCAAATTAATGTCTGTCTATGCAATTATGTCTTTAAGTTGTAAATGTTGTTAGCGATTCATACAAGTTGTTACTCTAACAAGGTCGTAATAAGGTTTGGAATCAAAAGTTCTAGTTATGTAATTAAGTGTCTCTGTACTTGAAGTAATGGAGATTTATCAACACACGTTAGATTGTTTATTACTGTGACCTATTATTAATTATGATATCAAATCGAATTAGATTTTTTTTTTCTCTTCTGGATTATATAATCTACATTATTCTCGTATTAAGAACAGAGAAGATATTTTCATAGATCGAAAAAAAGATTCTGAAAAGAAGATTATAGAGCTGTTCTTACATAATATCTGACTGCGCGGTGGCTGTAGTGCAACGTGTCTCGGGTTCGATTCCCGCTCGGAACAACTCTTTGTGTGATTCACAAAGTTCCGGTTCCGGGTCTGGGTATCATGTGCATGGGAAATTGTATGTTTGTGACCGCACCCATGACACAAGAGAAAACCCTAGTGTGGGGCAACGTTTTGTATAAAAAAAAAAATATAACCGACCGAATGATGTAACAAAAATGAATTGTGAAATGGATTGGAAAAGAGTAGCTTTGAAGTTTATTGCTCGTTCTTCTCCATTGGAATGTACACTTAGGATATGCAAACAGCTTTATAAGAGGACAGACCGACAGACTGACACACAAACTTTTTAATAATTGTTAGTTTTTTGTTTGACGTTCAAAAGTACTTTTAGTGATGAATTTTAAATAAACGATTTAACGTTGACTTTATAAAATAAATACAGTAAAATACATTTTTTTTTACTCCAATAGGTAGAGAAGTACTGGGCATTTTTTTTTTTTTTGAATGTCAAAATCAATAAATTTTTAATTGAACGAAGCACACAGCATACTTTTTTCTCTTAAATTACTTAGAAAATATGAAAACTATGGATAAATACAATTCTCAGTGTGTTTAAACACACCTAGAATTGATGCTGATTGAACTGATTGCTGTGATTATTCATTTTTCAAAGCGTTTTTTCGACTGAGCATTATAATCCATTCCAAACAAATTGAAACGGAAAGGTGAATCTTACATGGTGTTGAAATTATAAATTGTTTTTTTTTAATTCTGAATCTTCGGTAACCGATAATCACGAAATGAAATAAAATTAAAGAGACACAATAAAATGAATATGAAAGACAAACAATTCGATTACAAATAACGTTCGAGTTATACTAGAACATACAAGAAAATATAAGTCATTATATATTATTCTATAAACATCTCTTCGACTTTATTTATTTTCTTCAAGACGATTATTCCCAAGGCAGTAATAGCGGTTTCCTAGAAAAACAATAAGCAGTCTGGGCTCCTAGGTTGAAAAAGCATTACTTCTTTTCTAGTTATACCTGGAATATTTCACCCTTGATTCCCTGGAAGGGTAGCAAAAGATACATATTGTCATATTCGATTTCACAAGATCTATTTCCAGATCCTAAAAATAGAGCACCTATTTAATAATATATAACATAATATGATTGCGAAATACCTATTTTACTAGAACTTTTTATATTTATGTCATGATTTTACACATACAGTTTGTCCGCAAAGCTGGTCGACTACACGGTTGTTGCAGAGCAGGGACAACTGGCTGCGGCGCAACGTATTGAGAGTTGGATTCCCGCACGGTATAAATCTTTGTGTGATCCACGATTTTTTGTCCGGGTATTTGTGTCATGCGTAGGTACGTGAAATTGTATGTTTGTAAACGCACCCTCGACAGCGGTGAAAATCATAGTGTGAGGCAACGTTTTTCAATTAAAAAAAAAGCGAAACAAAATTGGCGCAAACGTATTTTCGTACCGCTTTCGACAAATTCACATTTTTTTATCTTTCGTCCGGATTGTTCACACACAGTGTTACAAACCTGCGAAATAAATCTGCGTAGCTCTTAAGGGTATAAAGAATGCGAGAGCCTTTAAGCTCCAAATATGTAACCGTATTTTTAAAACAAATGTACCTATTCAATCGATGCCTTTAAATGGATTTATGAATGATGGGTTTTCCTCAATCCTGTTTACTAACAGAAAAAACGGCCTTTTTTCAGTAAGTAGACTACTAATGAATAAATAAATAATATCTAAAAAGTATCCCAGAATCAACAATCTTATTTTTACATAACCAACGAATTATACATACCGATATATTTTTCAGTGCCTTCGATATGATGGGGACGGGTTCCCGACGAACGGTGGCTACCATAAGCAATGGTATGAATATGAGTAAGGCAGCACACCAGAGGAGTAAGAGCAGCAGCAATGCCTGCTTTCTGCCAGGAGGTCGGAGTCTTGGTTCAGGGGAGATGGAGAGCCATCGGTCCACTGACATTGCCGTTATTGTGAACACGCTGGCTGCTACTGCGACTCCTGGAACAACGTTATATATTACATAAACTTAACAAATATAATTATTAATCTCATGTTGTATAAAATTTGTAGAGATCTGAGTAACATGTTTCATTATATCACGATTCTGTAAAAGTCTTTAAAATCCAAATAATATATTGAATCCCGAACCTCACCACTTAATCAGTTATGTATCTGTTAGTATGTAATGTAAGTTTAAGTAGAATTAAGTATTTCCTACTGATCTCATTCCTTGCATTGATATCTACCTACTTATTTATCTAATTTAATGTTCCATTTCATTGTTTAATTATATTGCAATTCTAATGTTGTTATAATATTTTTAATATAATTCTAATAATGTTATTGTAATAGATAGTTTCGTTCTTACACTACTAGGTTATCACTTTATTTTTAAGAATGCTGGTTACCTGTAATTGGCCATTGTATAAGGCCAAAACCTAATGTTATTATAGTTTTATTTAATTTGCTATATACGGAAGCTGTTGGTGTACCTTTTTAAAATAAATAAATAAATAAATTATTAGTATTATTCTGTTTTTCCATGTATCGTTTTTTTTAAATGTCTTTTTGACCTTTTAATTGTTTGTTTTATGTTATAATTATTTTGTTGATCATGGCTTTAATTTCTGATGTCGACTAATTGCATTTTTTTATTTCTTTCTTTCTTTCAAATTATGTAGGAAAGCAAGTTGTACAGCTTAAAAACTGATCGATGAGCTGATGTGCTCTCGCAACTACTTTTTTTTAGGGAAACTATCATATGACTTCAGATGTCTTTATTGATAAAATTTTCATAACTACAAAAAGTTATAGGTACTTATTTGTGCACATTTCGTTTTATTTAGTTACCGCCAAAATTATTGATAAACGATCTAAATTCAAAATTTCGGTAGGTATCTCTGAATGTGAAACCAATACCATAAAGGTAAGGTCATATTACACTGTCGTGATTGGATACAATATCCAAACGCAATATCACATTTAATTACATTAATATTATTAATAATCATACCAAGGAAATGTGTCAAGGTCATTTATCTCCCACTATCATGTAGTAAAATCGTTAATATCGGTTGATATCTTCCATAAAACGCAACTGACGTCAAGCGGCCCTTAAACGAAGCATTACGGCAACAAGTGACTTTAATTACCTTGATAAACCTTGAGGGCTCATTAAGGCCCACGTGTAGAGATGATACTTACGGTAAATCTTAGGCCTTGTTTACGAAGATGCAGTACGATATCTTGTGGTTGATTCATTGCTCAGAATGTTAGTGTTTGCGCGAGCTATAACGCGGTGCGCTGCAGCAATGTACGATAAACTCCCGACGCCCCGATTCTCAATAAATAAGGTCTCAGAATTACTGTAAACGTCTTCCCTATATTTTTATACTAAAACACATGTAAGCAAATCAGACCGAACAGAAATAAGTAATCGGAATCGAATAAGTAACTTGTAATGTTTCCTTGAACCAAAATTGTTTCCGCTAATAAATCCTTTTCAATAATGACCTTCCGATCCAATTATTTTACCGTACAATTGTATTAGACATAATTGGCTATGCTTGATAAATAATCAGAATTTATCTGCCTTTATGATGGGCAAAAGCTGCTTTGGAAATATAGAAACAATAGCCAATGAACTTATTTAAGACGATTCACTGAAATAAATGTTTTTTAACGTAGGAGAGCCATGCTTCGGCACTGCTGAAATGAATTTTCCTACCCCTAAGCATAGATTGTGTCGGAAAATGTGGGAAAACCAAGCTTCGGCGCAACGTTGTAAGTGTGAGTGAAATTACAGAAGGCCCAATCCTTTCCTTCCCCCCAATCTTTAAATATCCGAAACACTTACCTCCAAAAGATACTAACTAACTACTTGGTATTGCTGGTAATCATAGGCAGCGCTAATTGCTTGCCAACATGTAATTCTGGTTGTTTACTGTACTATTCCGTAAAAAAGTGTGCGATCTGTTTGTCCACGTTGTGCTAAGTTTTGCCAATTCGATCACCGCAAGGAACAACTCTTTGCGACATTCGCAGATTGTTGTTCGCACATTTTCATTTTAAAAACATTGTGTGCAAGTTTTCATGTACTCTCTATGTAAGCTGACAAATTGACTTGTGTACATAACATACAACATAAAAGCGTAACAACTGCCGGCAGACCAAAAAAACTTTCAACTTTATCCCCAAATACGAAAATCGAAAATCTATTAAAGAATTTATTAAGCTGTACCTGGGCATAGCAACAAGTGCTATTGATTAGCGTAGTAAAAGCAGAAGCTATTAACTCAGGGCTTATTGCTGGTCGTAAAGCGAGTAACTGACATGTGTTTTCTGGTGTGTCGTATTGAGTCGTCATGTGATGTGAAACTGTATCAGAAATACCTACATAGGTATGCATGTTCATGACAGAATATGCACACATATAATAAAGCATTCGTAGCATATTTTTGTGTTTTTAAATAAGAAAGTCGCACGACTTTCTTAACATTTCTTGTTCGACTAAATGAATGATTTTATTTAAATTAAAAAAGGAAAAAGATACTTAATTTAATGATCTCCCAGAAACTTCAACCTTTAATAACAAATAGTCCGTTATTCTAAGTTCAATAACTTGTCAAAAAGAAAACAAAAATACATACCTACTTCTTTTTAATAAATATAAAAAATCACTGGCCGAAAATTTTCATTTGCAACCAACGCAAGCAGTTCTTTTTTTCTTTTTTCACAAACAACTACGTCAACCGACACCGCCAGCCATGTTTTATTAAAAAAACAAAACAGCTGTTTCTTTAGAAGCCTGATATCTGCAATCCTAAACTTTATTACAAAGAAAAAAATATATTTCGGCCTGCATTTTGTAGTAGATAATCGTTATTGTCTGTTCGTCCTAAATCTCTGGTGAAATAACAATGATGAGACGTTTGACTCTGCCCGAGGGAAATGTCTTCCATCAATCCTCTATTATCTCATGTTGTTATTCTAATGATCTGACTATTTATAATTACAATTATTATAGCCTTCAAATCCTACAATGAAGGTAAGTTGTGGTTTAGGTTGTGTTTTTTATTTTATGCAAACTAAATAATAATTATTAAAGTTCATGTTACTTTTAGATGTGGATTTGGAATTTTGAATTTCGTAGAATAAGCTACTTTCAAAAACTCACAAGTTTGGTAACAGATCGTCATATTTTATTATATTTATTAAGAACAACTATTCTGAATTCTGAAAACACGTGAACCTTATTGTATTTGATTACTAGCAATAAACAAAATAAGTATACGCAAAGGGTGTCAAAATCATTTTGGCAAACCCTGCAATTAAAAAAATGAAATAATAACATCCAACATGTAACAATCTGAAAAAACTAACCATAAATAGAAACTTTTATTTACGACACTTTTATTATTGTGTAGACTACATACATATTCTGCTTAAAACCACAACTTTAATTACTACGAACTGATGTTAAGATATAAAGGCACACCTTCTTTAATTAAATGAAAAAATATTCTTAATTCTTAGAAAAAAAAAGGTTAGACAAATATATAAATGACGCACTAACTCAGTTGGCTACGCGACGTCGCCGCACCGCGCACGCTACTTATGAATAAGTTAGTTAGCTATTAGTTTGAAGTCCAGTTTTGACTTGAAATTAGTAGAGGTTTCAAAAAAAGTACTAAATTAGCTTAATTAATTATGTCGAGTGATGACTTCCAGCCTGCCAGTTGTGGGCCTGCGAATGGCTTTGGTTCGAGCGTACGCGAAGCGTTCCGCGCGTGCCTGAAAGAGCCAAAAGACCACCACAGTTCGCGCCCATTCCAGAGCGAATGTTTAGCTGGGGTTGCTGTGCAAGCGCAATAAGGCTCTACAGCCTCGGCTTGGGCTAGATAATTATGGAAAAAGAGGTTTTAAGTCAGTAATAGTCTGACACTACTAAGCAGCTAGTACAAAATAAAATATAGAAGGAACTAAGAAACATCGTTACATTCAAATACGAGTTTAACAGTATTTTTGTTAATTCATTCGAAAGACTTTTTGGCATAATTTGACAGTGGAGTTTATTAATTATACGAACTGACGGGTCACTGTGTGATAAGGTTAATAATTTTAAACTTTAAATTAATATATTTTTTAATGATTTTACAATAATTAATTAGTTAGGGTCATGCTTTGACACGAATGCGTCGACTGGAGTGATACTACGGCCTCACAGAAAACCGGCGTGTGACAACTACAGCGTTGTGTTTCGCCGTGTGAATGAGGTTACCGAATGCCCAAACCCTACCCCCTCCCGTCCCCCCAATCCCTAAATCTCCAAATCCCCAAAAGGTCGGCAACGCACTCATAACTCTTCTGATGCATGTCCATGGGCGGCGCTGATTGTTTACTATCAGGTAATCCGTCTGCTCGTTTGCGGACCTATTAAAAAATAATTATCTGTAGATTTGGCTTTAAGGGCAAAATTTGCGTTATGTTTCATTGGGTGAAGTCAGCAACATACTCGTAACTTCTCTAGCGATGGTCCCAATTGCTTACCATCAAGTAATCCGTCTGCTTGTTTGCCGCTTTATCACAAACAAAAATATATGAAGTTAATATCACATACTATTCCTACATCTGGGAAGATGTCATGACGTGACACTCGTGAAATCGCCCTTAATGAGAGATTCAAAAGGTCATTTATTAGTTGCTTCTGTCGTTGATCAGCCTTTTAGAAACGAGTGTTAGTTAGTATCCGCCAAAATTTCTTGTATAAAAGATACTGACCTTGAATATAATTGACAATTTTGCAGACTGTTTCCCCGTAGAACCATACGAGGGTGATGGCCTTGCTGAGCTGAATGGGCATGCAGATCCCTGTCACCAGCAGGTCCGCCGCTGATAGATTCACCAGAAAAATGTTCGTCACACTGTAACAAACGATAATACAAATTAAAAATATATTTATGAAATCGAGACTCTACACAGTCTCATTACTGTTTCGACAAAGGGTCTTGACTTCGACCTGGAAAAGGTATTTGTATACCTAACGCGGAGTCTAGTCTGTGTGTAACTAACTAAAATTGAAGTTATTTTAAGTTGTGCATTTTAAATCACACTCGTCTTAAGTGTAACCAAACATTCAAAAAAGATTAACGAATTTTAGGTTAACTTGGGAGTTTTCCCTAGCTAAATGTAGTAACACCACATAGCATGGAATTAATTTAATTAATTAACAGTTTTCATGTGAACTCCGCACCATTTGGAATTCAATGGCATTGGATATACCTACATGTAAACAGATTCGGAAGATATTGTATCGCAAAAATAATTTTCTCATTCGTCGAAAACAAATGCATAAATTAAGAATTTAAAAAAATTGTTTGTCAGTCTTTAATGTTAAATAGTAAAAGTATTTCGAATAATTAATACATGCTCTAACATTTATAAATAAATACAAAATAATTTTTTGTTTTCTTAATTTTCTTCGTTGCTGAGTGAACTTATTGACCTTGTAAACAATGGTGGAATTGCTGGTGGTTTCCTGCTTGACTAAATGCAATATTCCAGTGATTTGTATTCTATTTAAAACGTTACATTATAACTATAGCGTAGCTTAATCTTGGCTATTACGTATTTATTTTTTATTGAATAGATCAGCAACGTGCAGTCGGATCACCTGATGGTAAGCACTCGACGTCGCCATGGACGATTGCAACACCGAGTTACAAGTGCGTGCTACATTTTGTAGGATCTTGGGGATTTGAGGATTGGGGATGGGAGAATAGATCTACCGTAATCTCACACATAAAGTGAAGTAGACCATCCGTGCCGAAGCTTGGATCTCCCACGCTTAAATGTTTTGTAGACTTGGAAAATTTGGGATATTTTCCATTTTAAAAAGTCGCCAACGCACTAGTATCTTCAGTGTTGCGAGTATCAATGAGCGACGCTGATATATCTTACCATTGGATTTGCCATACCACATATGACACAGAAAAAATTTAACAACTTTTGTTGACCATTATACTATATAATCACAATTATGGATACCACTTATATGTCATGGCTGGCATGTTCTTGCCATAATTTAATAAAATCACAAAGCAGCAGGCAAACAAAGCGTTGTTTATTTAACAAAACAAGCCTTAAAATGTTTGATGACTATCAGGTTTCTTAATGGGGAATAAGCTTGTGAGGCAAGGACGGCACAAAAATAAATTCGCTTTGCAAAACCTTGACGTACAACACTTTGTGTTTAAATTCTTACACAGAAAATAAATAATTGTCTAAAATAAAATTATGCTCATACTAAAATAGTTTTTATTTAAGTTAATTTCGAAGTCATATCCTTTTTTTATAGATGGCAAATTCATGATTGAAATTTAAAATTAATGGCTAATCCCGCCATGGTGTTTTTGCAAATGTGAGTGCCCTGTAACCTATTATAATTAAGTTAGACTTATAGAATACAGGTATACAGGTTAAATATATATGCTTACTCAGAGGTCTCATTGGCGGTGGCACGGGCACTGGATCGCTCGATGCCCTATAATATGGTTGAGTTGGGCAGTGCTGGTGTACGTGTCATGTTCGTGAGCGGTCGCCGCCTATTGGGACTGGTCATCTCCTAGCTGTCTAAATATGCTGTCCTTGAGGTTAACTTCTTTGTCGGATTCTTTGCTTAAACGTTAGTGTTACACTGTTCTCACTTATCAGAACTGACTAAAAGATGTAACCAAGAAATGTTTTGTAAAACTGATTGAAAAAAGTAACCATGGAGTTTCTTGCTTGTTCTTCTCCATAGGAATCTACACTTTGGAAAGAGCAAATTGCTGTATACCTATCGAATAAGACCTTTTCCTGTTAACAAGTAACGCAATCATTACAATACCAATCAAATCTGAAGCCTTAATTAGGCTTCAGATTTGCTTAGCTTTTCTATAAGATTGAAATTAGTGATTACAGGAAGAAATAATTAGGTTTGTTTTACCTTATACAAATTGTTTTATGTAAAACAAGATGTACTAGTAAATGCTTAAAATTGATTGCTTGGATATAATTCAAGTTTGTCTTATGTTTGTGTAAGAGAAAGCGGAACGAAAATGATGTAAACAGATTGTGTTTGATTATAATTATAATCCTCTTGATGTAGATTATTAAATGGTTAATAATGTTCAACATATTAATTGACATCAGAAATTGTATAATTCATATTATTAATTTATATCTAAACTAGCGGTCCGCGCTGGCTCCGCTTGGATACAATGCTGATACAGTTTTTTTAACTATTTATATCATCATCTTCCTGCCCTTGTCCCGTTTTATTTAGGGTCGGCGCAATATGTTTTTTTCTTCCATTCTGTCCTGTCACCCGTCACGCTATCACTAACTCCTCTGTATTCCATATCACTTCTCACACAATCCATCCATATTTTCTTTGGTCTCGTCTCTCTCTCCCTCCACATTTATTTATTTTTAAACTATTTATATAAACAATGTTTTTATACAAAAACGCCTTCTTCATAATCACTTTATCTATTCAAAAAACCGCATTAAACCCGTTGTGTAGTTTTAAAGATTAAAGGTTTTTTATACTATGTAGTGATAGGGATATTTGACTGCACGAATGGTGCGGTGGCTGGGTAACTGGTTGCTGTGCAACGTGTCACGGGTTTGATTCCCGTACGGAACAACAACTCTTTGTGTGATCCACAAATTGTTGTTCCGGGTCTGGGTGTCATGTGTATGTGAAATTGTATGTTTGTAACCGCATCCACGACACAGGAGAAAATCTTAATGTGGGGCAACGTCTATACTAAAGAAATATTATCATTATTGTTGTATCTGCAAAGTTGAAAATTAGCCTTGACGCTATGCTAGTTTTAGAGAGGTCTATGTAAATATCATATTGTACGACAGTGAGCCATTAAAAACGTCAACATTAAAGGAAATGGACACAGTTGTTAAAAAATTACAAAAACAAATAAAGGGATCTTTTTTGTTCAAACACTTGATTTCCTTGGAGAAAGAGTTTATAGAAGATCTACTTACTCGTTGTTTTTTTTTATATCCTTAATTAGTCAATGCTGTCCTTTTCAACACTGAAATAATATGTCGGTATCTATGTATATGCCCAAAATAATAATAATTCTTCTTTCAAAAAGTACTACTTATAAGCAAAATCAGCAAATCACGAGCGTGGGATTAATATACTTCCCGAGTGGTGGGTTGATTGTGTAAAATGTGGTGATTAAACTGATTAGCACACAGACACATTAACACATAGATCCCAGAACTATTAATATTACATGATTAGGTACATATGTATGAATATAATTATATCGTATATAAATGTATTGTTTGTTTACACATATACGCACCAGGGACCCAGGGTACACCTGGACTGCCACCAACTACTACCTTCACAAGGTTGTCTGGTAGAGATCTCTTTTAGCGAATTCCTTTTTACCTTACACTACCTATTTTATTTTTGTTTATGCATTTTATAAAGTCCTTTCGTGTAATAAAGATTACTATTATAATTACCTGGTATTCACATAATGCATAATTCTCGACAAACTGAAAGAATTCTTCTGTGTGTATAAACTGGATAACTGATTGGAACCTAAATAAAAATAAACGAGTGATTCTGTTGGTAAAAGCTGGTATAATATTACAATTATTAGGTGGATGAAGAATAAACATATTTTTTAAAATAACAATGAAGTTGAACTTTTATCAAAACCAAATGCTATTGTAGTTACAAAAGCCATTGGCATATGCACTGTTCAGAGTTTTATTAATATCTTTTGACAGTATGAAATGGGTCTGTCTCTAGAGAATTTCAGCGAATATCGAATATTCCAAATATATATCGATATTTTGTGTAACGATGGATGTTACTATTTGAATACGCCCACAAGATCATAGTATCAATGAAGACAAATAAGATTCATATCAAAATGTTTACACTTGTACCATAACATAGACCACTATTTATATATATATATATATATATATATATCTATAGCTACAACTTATATTTTGTACAAATATATAAATGCCAGCAGTTCAGCCTCCTCTAATTTGTATTTCAGCAAAACAATTCCAACTCCATCCTTCTGTATTAGAGTCGAAATTACAATGAACTTGGCCATAGGTTAATGATCTTTTGTTACATAGAGGATTATATATAATACTCCGGTTGCTAATTACCTCATACAAGAAACGTAATAAGGACAGATCGAGGAAATGTCACCAAACGGAACAGTTGAGGACAATAAAGCTCTAATGACACTGTCCCTTCTTGATGATTGTAATGAACGAAATCATTAACTGTCACGGATGTCATTTCGGGGAAATCTCAAGCGTCGTGATCATGTATGTAAAGGTTACGACCCTCAAGTATGAGGGTGTGTGTTCCTAACCTAAAAGCAATGTAACATTTTAGAGCTGCATGCACATTTTTTGTTAATGTAAACACCACTTACGCTATGCCCTTCATTCGGGTCCAGTTCTGGTCGGTCAGCTACCGGTGCTTGTTGTTTGCAGAACCGCCGCACTCACGGTGGCCGTTGGGATAAACGTATTGCGAAATAGTGGACAAACAATTACAGTCCCATTTAAAAGAAAGATACTTGTGGAAATGCAACTCAAATTGAATTAAAATATTATTAAACATTCCAAAAGGAAGAATCCAATAATGATTAAATTACAATTTTAACGGGAATTCGAATTTTAAATTTAATTTTATTAAGTATATTGTTAGTAGTATTTTGGGGTAGTTAGTATATTGGGGTTAATTTAACAAAAATTTAACCTCATCTTTTCTTATAGGTTATAAATGAGACATTTTTACGAATAAATATATATAGAGTTTCCGATACATATAT